CTTTATAGGAAAGGCAACGTTCTGCGTGGGTTAGAGACTTGCGGGAATGATTCCTTGTCCACCTTAAGTATATTTTATATTGGTTGGAGCGCCGTGCCGTGTCTTGGCGAACTCGATTCAACTGCAATCGGCCGAATATGGGTACGCAGCGGCGACTTGCATCGGAGCATACCTAAGGTAGCTGGCTGTGTCATTATGGACATTAGGTAGTGTCGTATATATGATACGTCGCGTAAGGAGAATTCTTGAGAGATTGATAACTGTCGTGTGGTGTATAATAGGAGACAGCCTCATTTATAAACACGGCCGTTGTCCTGTCTATTCCCGCTGCCAATTATCGTTATCCTCATCTAATGTCATCCACTAGGAGAACTACCGCTTTGCGATTACTGTTGGAAAGCGGATGCCGACATTTTAAGTGTTTATATGAAGCGAGAGCCGTTAGGCCGTTCTCATCATTCGAAGGTGTTTGATTGGATCGAACGCATCTAAGGAACGGAAAGGATGAAAAGTGTAGGTTAGAGAAACCCTGCATAATATCTAAAGTGACAAATCTGACAAACCCTTCTACCCTGGTAGGAGATGAGAAGGAGTATAATACCCAGCGTGAAGGTTCTTGTATATCGGCTTTATAGAATTGATGGGACTGACACGGATATATACTTGTAAGTATACTTAAGTATGAGTGGTACATACCTGTTAATACATTTCGTATTTAGTATATACCTTAGATTAGTAGGATTGTAAAATTTTAATTTTTTATTAAAAAATGAAACTACACAACAGGGTCAATGAAAAAGATTGAATTAGGTATCATTGAAAAATGTATCATTGAACGTAGGTAGGTAGTATTACATGTAGATGTATCGGCGGGGGGGTGTTTTCTTATTCCTTCCCCTTTTCGGTTGGTGAGCTACATACTACCTAGCGTACTTACCTTTTAGCTCTTAGGTATAAAGTACATAGCCGATATGCAGTTTCCTAAATCATTTCGTTATTTTGTGTAGGACAAAGTTTCTATGAACTCGTACCTAATACGTGCAGGCGTTCGGCTTAGTAAAGTCCCCTGCTCTTGAACTGTCTGGGGTGCTGGAATACAAAGTACCAGGTAGTCAGGTAGTGTACACCACCTAACATCCATACAAAGACTAATAAGAGTAAAACCCGGATTTTAGGGTAACATGGCCTATCCACCGGGCTGCATTCTTTTACATTCTTTTTTACATGACAGCCAGACAGCATGTAATGTATGTACATATATATTTATGTATATTGTATAGCTATCGTATATTGTATATTCTCTATATTATTACCTATTAAGATGCACCTAACCAGCCTAACCTAACGTTTCTCATATTCTATATCCCATATCCCATCTGGGCACTCTCTCATACCTTGCATACCTCAATACCTCCAATACAACCACCAATCTATCCTACCCAGCCTACCCAGCCTACCCAGCCTACACAAGTTACCCTCCAGTTACCCTCCATCTCACCTTTCTTGGCACAAAAACAAGGCTCATCCCCTTGCACTAGAATGTCTCGAACAGGTTCCTGGAGGAAACCTATCGCTTCCAAGAACCAATGCCGACAAGGACAGAGTCTTGCGGCGACGCGGTCCAGTGCGGTCCAGTGCGGTCCAACACCGCCCTAAAACCGGAACCAAGCGAGAAAAGGCTGCCCTTACATACCCTGGAACGGCACGGCGTAAGCACCCAACATAGTATAACATCGTATTGCATGCTATTGATCAGGAGGCATCTTCGCTGTTGTGTCTGTTATGTCTGTTATATCTGTTGTGTTACGTACAGCGTAGTTACAGCGTACAGAGCATGCACAATATAGTAGCTAGCAAGCCACTTATTATTAGGCGGGCCAGCAAGGCAGTTAAAGGCAGTTAATTCTCCTCCAATGTGGTGCATGTATGTAGACGAGACAGAACCGGACAGGGCTGGCAGCTGCAGCATGCGCTCACCCGTGGCGGTAGGCATTCCAGAATCTGGGATTGTGTCGTGCTTACACACTTGGTAGCAATGTCACAGTGCCTACGACTCTATCTAGGCCGGTTGAGATACATAACACGGCTCGGTTGAATCGTCTATTCATCGATCAGCAAGGAGGACGGACGGCCCGCGCGACGCTTGCCCGGTTGTCTGCCTGCTTGTCTGCTTGCCTGCTTGTCTAGCTTAATAAACGCCTCATGCTGTGCGAAAAGCTCGACTCCACTGAAATGTTACAACGGTTGGTGATGCAACTGCTGACGCCCTCAGTACCAAAGAGTGACTGCGAATGGAACATTAACGGTTTTGTGGCCAAGTTCCGGGCTCACATTGCTCGAATGGCGAATTGGCCCGAATAAGTGCCACGGGGTGCGTCCGTGTCCACACCTGTGGTTCGTCTATTCCCCTGGATACTGATGTTCATGAAACCATCCATGTCCGCGGAAAACTCTGTCGACGGAAAGAAGAAGGGGAAAAAAAAAAGAGGCACAACACCATTAACTATCATAAGAAGAAACAAATGATGTTTATGGGGTTAAGCCCCTCTTCTGGTACATATCTAGTTCTAGCCCGTAGGTGGCAACAAGCAACAAGCAACTTGCAGCAGCTTTAGGGATCCGACAAATAGTCCCTGCGCGGTCCTCAATTCTACATATGCTTAGGCTTTGAGATCCTACGCCAAATAGAACTTGGCGTCCTATCACTGGTCTTCCTGTCGAAACAACCGAATTGGGCGATGAGTATTTGTTAGGTACGGAAGAAACTAGCTGACGGGCATCAAAAAGCAAAAGGCATGAGTCAACTAGTCTTGCCTCTTCCCCCCTCCCCCTCTTCCAGATTTCCTTATTGTTTATCCTTATGGTATAAACCCGCAAGTATACCTATTCAGTCCGGCAGATAGTCTGCCTTACTGGCCGCATTAAATTATACTGGTATATCGCAGCGAATGGCGGAAGAGTAATTAATGTCGCGCGTGGATGCCGGGGACTGTCAGGATACGGGCGGTAATACCCACGCCATCATTAAAAAAAAAAAAAAAAAAAAAAAAAGCCCATTTATGGTGGAGCAGAGCAGAGACGGTACGGGTGTTATTGACGTTAGTGAGAACAATGGGGGAGATGCCGTGGCTGAATCGGGATTGCTTGGAGTTGGTTCGTCCCGCTTTGCTCCCCGGAACTTACAAGGGTCCCCTTCTACGTACATAGAGGGAGCAAGGATCATATTGCCCCCCAGCTCGCTAGATCGCAGTACATCAGCAATATCTGTTCTTGGTGGGTGTATATGTCTCTCCCACGCCCCAGGGGCCAGGACAGCGGGCTGAGAGGGGGACCAGAGGGCCCAAATACTCGGTTTTCACGCCTCAACCGGAACTCGCTTCCAGTTCCACTCCTGCAACTCTGCCGTCTGCCAGCTTACTGTTTTGGACTAGTCTTTGCCTGCCCTTGTTTCTGTGCAACGTCCCTCTCTCTTTTCTGTGTTCTACTGTATGCCGACCATTTTCTCATTTATCAACTCTCCAGCCGAGTCCTGTTAAGTACATCCCGTGCTGTTACAGCTGTTGTGCCAACTACCTAGCCTAGATTGAATTTGGTGGCTTCTCGCCTGTGTACCGAGCCTTGGAGTAGAGTACCTACCTAATTCAAAGAGTCCCGACTTCTTTTGCTATCGCGATTCCTTAAAGGGGGTGTCTCGACGAGACGTATTCGCCGGCTCTATTGTACGGTTTAAGGATCTCTACGAACTGTCGCCTCTCCACGTCCTCGGCCTAGAACTTTCCTCGAGCAACTATATTCATGGCCAAGAGTAGCTCGTAAGTTACCGCTTACGTCTATGACTCTGTCCTATGCGTTAGACACGTTATTCATCTTCCGTACTAGAACGACGTCGACAATTAACTTCAGCATAAAATCGAAAGAGTATACTACCATAGTCGCACTGCAGCTCTAGCAGTTTTTCCTTGCAGGGATATTCCCGGCCAGCTCTACCGTATCGACCTCTCAGTGCGCTGTTCGTCGACCACAGATATGTAAATAACCGCCTCCTACCACAGAATTTCCCAGTATACACTTTCAACTTTCAGTCCGCGGGTGGAATCGGAGCGCACTACGTCTAGTTTTTACGGCTTTAGTCACAGCCACATATCTCATATCTCGACAATTGTTGTCTTGGTCCGTCCTCGAATTTTATTACTGCGTGCCGTCGCCGTTCTAAGCCTTTGAAGTCGATTTTCAACAGAATCAGTATCACCGACACCATATGACTACCTAAATTGTCAGCTTCCACTTGTGTGATTTACCCTTCTAGATTAATTCTATATAGTCCCACCACGACCTCTATCTGTGAGCTATCTACATTCATCAGTTTCCGTTTTATATCATTCGCTGCCGTCGAGGTTCCATCGTACGGCGACTTCTGCTGTAATACCATGGTGGACACTATGGCCAGGCCACCCGACTCGTGGGCCCAGGACCCTTATGCTCCTCGACATGGTTCTTACTACCCTCAAGAGCAACGCGGCCACGAGCTACGTTTACCTCCACTACCTAGCCTCGTGACCGGACCACACGTGAATCAAGAGCTTCTGAATAGACAGCAACCGGCAGCCTATGGGCATACCCAATATGGGGAACCCTATGCACCCTCTCCGCCTATCCATCACAGTCCACGGCCGCCAATGCCAGGTTCTGAGTTACACACGATGGCACCGAGTCCTTACACTAGACGGCCAGTAGAAGCAAGCGTCTGCGCCCGGCCCGCGCACTCGCCGAGCATAGGTAGCCGGTCCGCAGGGACGCCGGAGCGTATTCAACTACGGCAACCGGGCGGCGAGCCGAGCCCCTTACAGGCTCAGAGATTACCTTTACAAGCAAGGCCAGCAGAAGAATCGCCTCGACAGCGTCACTACGCAGAAATCCACGCAGTTAGATCTGCTTCAGAATATCCACAACGCGATCTTCGTCTTCAGCATTCTCCACGAACAGTAGATACTCCACGACAGATGTGGCAATCTCAACCTGAATCTCGTGCTCCCGAGCGGATGAGGATATCGGAACTATTAAGCGACGAACCGAGAACCGAAGAGTCGGGCTCCTCTAAGGCGCCAGAGCGTAGGAAAGCTCCCACCGCCGCCCCTTCGACGTATAAGTTAAAGGTCCGCCAGCAACCGGTTGCTGCTAGGTCTTGTGGTTTTGGCGAGAGGGATCGCAGAGTTATTGATCCACCTCCAATAGTCCAGGTATTTATCGAAGACGCCGAGGCCTCACAAGAGGAAATTCGTGCCCAACTCAAGTTCCGATTCTCGGTCATGCATTGTACGATATGGAACGAGACAGGTGACCAAGACTGCTCGGGTATGCCAGACGACTATCGACAGCAGCGAAGACTCATGGGAACGATAGTGTCATCACCCTTCGTCGGATTTGACGAAAATAACGAAGAGGGATGCTTCTTCTGTTTCCCTGATTTATCCTGTAGGACTCCTGGTACCTTTAGGCTGAGATTTAGTCTGGTGGTTCTAGACCCAAATTCGATACCCGGGTCAAGAACCCCAGTATGTGCCATCGCCATGAGCGATGTATTCACAGTTTATAACGCCAAGGATTTCCCGGGAATGCGAGCAAGCACGGCCCTAACGAAGAGGTTGAAGGAGCAAGGATGTCTTATTTCTATTAAAAAGGGAAACGAGAGGAGTCATGCACGCGACGATAGCGAAGAGGAAGAGGAAGATGACGATGACGGTGGGAGTTCGGCACAACGACGAGTGAAGCGGACTAGAAAATCATGACATTCTCTAAGAGATTATCCCCTTTTTTTGACGGCATCAAACTTTAAGACAAGCTACTCTACGATGGCAGCTTGCAATTTACGAATACAAAAAAAAACACAGTATAGTTGTCCATGAGCGCATTACTACCTCATGGCTTGGACATAACGGCTTGTACGGAAAATAACGAAGGGGCATATACGTGACATGCCACATATAGATGGACAAAGGAAACATATATGCTTACAAGGGCGAACAACGATTGTGGTGGTATGGAAATGAAATAGGGGTTAGAAGGGAAGCGATGATTTGTTTGACTTCTTGTATTCGAATGATTAAGTTTTGGACAGCGTCCCGGAATCGTTTTATGGAATACGTTATGGAATTGGAATACCCTAGATCCACCTCAGGCTCGATTTTGGACGAGATTACGGAATTTACGATTGGAACATTTAGGGGGAGGACGGTTAGAATTATTACCCATTTACTACCACTTAGCCTTTTTGATCGATCTTATTTCGAAGCCGGTATATCTTTATATCTTTTTTTGCGTCATGCATTGTTTAAAAAAAATATTCATTAGAGAATAATTTATGTGACTAAATAAGCTGCTGCTGTTTTCCCTTCTTGTTTCTCTACTGTTTCTTTTAACGAGATAAGTCAGTTGAGCCGGTTGTAACCTACTAATTTGCGCGTAAAGGGGTAGAGATTTACTGTCCCTTACCTAACCTTTATATCTTTATACAAATAACTACATGTACGATATGAAGTAAGATAAGATTATTATTTTTTTCTTGATAGATAATGCCAAGAATTTCAAGGGTCTTTCCGTTTTTAGTTTAGATTAGCTCTCAACAAGCTTATCTTAGGCTCCGCAACGGAGGAATTAGTACTAATCATGGACTAGTGTCACTTGAGGCACAGTAGTCTAAGTCAGCTTCAACCCGCCGGGACTTCCCCAAGGAAAAAGTCGGGCGGAAAATCCCAACGTTGAATTTTTGAGTGACTTTCCGTCCGGAGCTCTCCATCTTCTAAAATTCCAATTTCTAATTCCCAATTCCCACCTTTTAGCAAACGGGACTTCAAGATTTTAAGCCAACGATAACCTATATCAGGCTTTTACTTTAATCTTCCTTCTTCTTCTTCTTCTTCCTCCTCTTCGTCACGACAACGGCCACAATGTTCTCGCGCGCTCTGCGAGTCCCGAGAGCCGCAGCGCCTTTAGCGCGTGTCCGAGCTGCCAGACCTGTCGCTATCGCACCTTTTCGTTCAGTCACTACAAACGCTGCTAGCTCTCATGCTGACAAGAACGACGTCCCCGATGCCGACGATAAGCCCTTCCAAGTCACCTTAAGTGACGAGAGTTTCGAGACATATGAGCTCGACCCCCCTCCCTATACTCTCGACGTCACCAAGAAGGAGCTTAAGCAGATGTACTACGACATGGTCGTTGTCCGGTAAGCGTCGCAATTGGCAAATAAGCCTGCCGCTTTCGGCCGAGCCATATTTACTAACAGCCGCATAGACAAATGGAGATGGCTGCCGACCGATTGTACAAGGAGAAGAAGATTCGAGGTTTCTGTCATCTTTCCACAGGTCAAGAGGCTGTCGCCATCGGTATCGAACACGCATTGACCAAGGAGGACGATGTCATTACCGCCTACCGATGCCACGGTTTCGCCCTGATGCGCGGAGGTACCGTTAGATCCATTATTGGTGAGCTACTGGGCCGACGTGAGGGTATCGCCTACGGAAAGGGTGGTTCTATGCACATGTTCACCAAAGGCTTCTACGGCGGTAATGGTATCGTCGGTGCTCAGGTCCCCGTCGGTGCTGGCTTGGCTTTTGCGCACAAGTACAACAACACCAAGAAGGCCGCTGTTATCTTGTACGGTGACGGTGCCAGCAACCAGGGTCAGGTTTTCGAGGCTTTCAACATGGCTAAGCTATGGAACTTGCCCGCTCTATTCGGCTGCGAGAGTATGTGCTCGATATAATGGTCGTTTGCCATAGCTAACATGTTTTAGACAACAAGTATGGTATGGGTACTGCTGCTGCTCGATCGTCTGCTCTTACCGACTACTATAAGCGTGGTCAGTACATCCCTGGTCTTAAGGTAAACGGCATGGACGTCCTTGCCGTTAAGGCCGCTGTCAAGTACGGCAAGGAATGGACCGTTGCCGAAAACGGCCCTCTGGTTCTTGAATACGTCACATACCGATACGGTGGCCACTCCATGTCCGACCCTGGTACCACGTACCGAACCCGTGAGGAGATCCAGCGCATGCGATCGACCAACGACCCCATCGCCGGCCTTAAGCAGAAGATCCTCGACTGGGCAGTCTGCACTGAGGATGAGCTGAAGACGATCGACAAGGAGGCCCGCAAGCACGTCAATGACGAAGTCGCCATCGCTGAGGCCATGCCCGTCCCCGAGACCACGCCGCAAATCCTGTATGAGGACATCTACGTCAAGGGAACGGAGCCGCAGTTCATGCGTGGCCGCATACCCGACGAGAACTTCTACTTCAGCTCGTAAATTTCTAGCCGTTGGAGTATTATAAGCGCCGGACGTGATTGAAGCATTAAAATATCCCCTTTTTTTGCAACACCCCTGTAGTGTAAAATATAGATGGGCAGGCTAGGCTGGGGGGGTTGGAGTAATGAATGAAGAAGTCAAATGTATCGATTACGCCCCAATCATCAACGTAGCTAGCTAGGTAGCTATCCATCCGCATGACTGGAACCTGATCTAGTCGAAGCAAGCCTTGTTTATGGCTCCGAGGGGAAATAGACGAGCGATGATACCAGGTTCTTATGCTGTGTGCCTTGTGTTTAGATGATGGCAGTGACTAGGTTATTTGCTTTGCTAGATGGTTTTATAATTCTGGTGCTTTAGTGACTTGTCTGTGGGTTGGATATGGAGGACGAATTGGACTAAGAGTAAATCGAAAACAGGTTACTGGTTCAGGCATGTGATATTTGAGTAATGTAATAGCTAGATTAGTATAATAAGTTATCATTGCATCTCTTGAAGTCCTGTACGAATTTGTTAATTTAGTTTAATACATTTTCCTAGGGAATCATATCGCACGTATTCCTATTATTCGAACTCTTCGTATACCTTATAGGAGAGGAAACTTGTAGGTCTCGGCTTAATAGCATCAAAGTAGACTTGGTGACTTGCCAAAGATGAGTAGATAATTTCAATGTATATATCTCCTATTCTCTTCTTCCATATGTTATCCATTCTTTTAAAAGATTACAAGATAGAACATGACATAGCACATGCTCATTTAAAACGCCGATAAAACTTTTCTAGATATGACACATCTGATATCGTTCACCCCCTTTTTTTATTTTCCGTTTTCCTATCCTCTCCCCCCTCCTCCCCTTTTCCCACTTTCACCTTTCCCTTCTGCTCCCCCCCCTCCCCTCTATTCCACCCATCCCACTCCAAACCAAACCAAACCATCTATTCACCAATAAATACACTTCCCTCCTTCCTTCTTCCCCCCTTCCTACCGCATATTATCCCAACTCCCCCACCACCGACAACTCTGCGCCACAGCCGCAACGCTAGCCAACGCGTCGCGCACCCGACCCTCGGGATCCCGGAGCCTATGGCCCTCGAACTCGACGAAGAAGACGTACTGGAACGGCTGCGCCAGGCTCGGCCGGCTGTTGATGCTGGTCAGGTTGAGGCGCGCGCGGCGGAAGCACTCGAGCACGTCGGCGAGGGCGCCGGGGGAGCGGTGCGGGACGGTGAAGGAGGCGAGGGATTTGCTTTGCGAGTAGATATCGCTATCGCTATCCCCGTCCCCATCCCCATCCCCACCTGTGCCTTGCCGCCGCCGCCGCCGCTTGCTGAGGACTTCTTCTAGCCCCGGGATAGCCGCGCCGCCGCGCCGCACCACGAAAAACCGCGTCGTGTTGTCCTCGCGGTCCTCGACGTTGCGCGCCAGGACGTCCAGGCCGAGCATCTGCGCCGCGGCAGCGCTGGAGATGGCCGCGCTCGCGCCGGTCGCGTCGTCCTTGGCTAGGGCCGCGGCGCGGCTGGTCGAGCTGACGTCTACGGTCTCGACGCCCCGCAGCTTCTCGCGCAGGAACTTGGTGCATTGTCCGAAGGCTTGGGGGTGGCTGTACACGCGTCTGACGTGGGTTAGGTCCAGGTGGTGGCTGTGGTGGTGGTGGTGGTGGTGGCCGACTAGGCAGTGGTGCACGTCGAGGTAGATCTCGGCGCACACGGCTAGGTCGGGATACTCGCCGGCGCGGTCGGCGATCTGGTCTAGGGTAAATACCACGGAGCCGTTGGTCGAGTTCTCGAAGGGTACGATGCCGCAGGCTGCGCGGCCGGATTGCGTTGTGTCGAAGATGTCTTTATTCCCCCGGGGAGGAGGAGGTGTTACTTAGCCTGAAGATATACGCATGTGGTAGTGATATAGTGAAATATTACCTTTGATCGTGTCTACGGGGAGGAAGTCAAATTTGTCTGTGGGAAATGTGTCTAGCGTAGCCTGTGCGGTTAATATAAAAATTGCTATGGTCAGTTTTTCTTTTCTTTTTTTTAAGTAACGAAAACGTCTCCCTCAATGGGAGGCTAGTTGATGAGAGTTGAGATTCGTGCCATACCTGGTGCGTATAAGATGAGACCGGACCCAGAAAGCACACAGTCGGCTTTGCATCCAAGTCATTTCCCTGCTCTAGTCCACTACTTGACTCCATCTCGATTATCTTCGTTCCAGTCTCGTAGGATATAGTGAAAAAGACAGGAAGAGAAGAACACAATGAAGACCAGGTAGACAGGCCAACTAGCTTAGCTTATAACCCTAACCTAGAGAAAGAAATACCTTCGGTATCGTCCTCGGGTAGGTGGATTGAGATATCAAATCTCTTTGTTGTAGCCTCACTTAGGATCCATTACTTGTCGATGAAAGGGAGGCCGAGTCTAGTAAAGGGCGCGCCGTCAAGTTCAAATGTAGATTTTTGACATGAACCCGATCTCCGGATGCCGATCGAAAGCAGCGCCCCGGTGCTACGGAGCCTAGTGTCATTAAACCCAGTAGAAATTAACCCTAGCGGCATGAATTTAGCCCATATAGCGCGGTTACAACCGGGAATGCTGGCATGTTAGCCAGCCCTAAAAATATATACGTAGCACCTATTTCACCTCAACTATCTCGACTACCTTATTATAGGTATTATCGAAGCAATCAAATATAGGTATATACTTTAGGTAAGTACCTAAGGTATCTACTGATAACGTCTCACTTGTTAATCACATTCAAGGCCATATGCATTCTCGGGTTAGTAATGAGTGACTCGTATGCTTTATCGCACTATCTAAACTAAACGAATGTGATGAGCGGCTTGCTACTGCGAAATCATTTCGCAAATACCAACTCTAAACGCAAAATAATATCTAGGAGCAACTGTCCAGGATAACAAGAAACAAAATAATACTAGTGTGTCAAACTTGCAGCGGGGCGAGCAGGCTTGTCATAACGCACTCGACTGCTTAAAGGATGAAGCCCTATGATGTAGGCAGGTCCAACAACTCTGGACATTTGATAGACCCCCAGGTATAGCATCTTTGCAATCTGCGTTAGTCACATATCTCATTATGCTATAGCCGTGAAAGTCATACCTCCTTTCTATGCCATATGTCAACTCAAGCCATCATCATAGAGCGAAGCGGGCTAGGTGTCGCCACCTGTCTGGCCGTGTGTTCCGAATTTGCGGGGCCAGATTTCGCCAAACGTCGCTGAGCGAACGAAGTTGCCTTTGATTTTCGCGCTGGTCCGGAGACCGGCGCCGGGGCTGGCGCGGGGGGTTGCGGCAGCGGACGCTCCGGTGCTTTCACGATAGATGCCTGCTTAGATGGGACAGCTTGAGCTTGCCCCTCGTCGAGAACGAGGGATTCCTCAAACTATATACGCGCTCACGTTAGTCATTATACAGAAAAAAAAATTGTGGAGGCATCGCTGAGAGGACAGGAATTTTTTTTCATGATGTTTTTGTGATTTGATATTAAAAAAACTTGCGTTTTCATACCTGTCAATCGTCGTAGTAGTCATCATCGTCATCCACTTCGGCTAACTGCTCGAAGTTCACCTTGTAACGGAGAATACCACCAACACCACCGAATCCCTTCACGAACTGATTGCCTTCGGTTGACCTATCCGATACGAATTCTAGGTTGGTTCCGAAATCCTTGTAGTGCTCTGCAATCCACTCGAGGAAGGAATCCTGGGAAACTACTTCCATCTCCTGTCCGGTTTCCTTGTCCATGAACTTAGATCGGTCACCAGTCTCTTGCTGCTTAGTGGTGTGGAGGACAATTTCAGCGTTGCTGCTATCCTTTAGGACCCATCGCGTAATTTCGAGATTTTCGAAGACGATCAAAGTTTCCACCGCGCCGAGCTCCAGCGCCTTGAGCGTGTCCTCGATACCATAGCAGACCTTGCCGGTATCCTGGCTGATCTCCTCAAAGTACTTGCCAATGAGCTTCTTCTCCTGGATAAACTTGACATTTCCTAGAGTCTCAGAAGATAACTCGATAGCTTGGTTGAAGCCGTTCTCGCCACCGTACGACACATCGACAACCTTAATAACCTTGCTCTGTAGCCGGTTGTCGAACATGTCGGAGGCATTAAGATCATTTTTGAAGTCGGCGGAACCAGCAAGGATGATACCAGCAACGTTGACCTTGTCGTTCGTGATAAAATTCTGAACGGCCAACTCAGCAACTTTACGGACGTAGTTATGTCGCTTCTCTTCTCTAAGACGCGCGAAACGGAGGGCAGACTGTCCGCCACGACCGTGCTTCTTGGGTAGATCAACCGAAAATTTGTGAACAACGTCACGAGTGTTCCCACTAAGAGTACCGAAAAGAGCACCATTACCATCCATGACAATAAAACCAAACTTCTGGTCGGATTCAAGCAGCTCAGCCAAAGCTTCGGTATGGAATTTATTGTCGCAGAGGTATAGGGAAGTGTTGATGGGCTTAAAGGGCTCGAAGTCGATGTTGACCTTTCGTTCCTTTCCTTCCGAAGTCAAGATTTCACCGCAGTAGACAACAAGACCGTTGGGAGGGACCTTGTTGTACAACTTGAGTCGCTGTTGGGTAGAGGTGATGGCAGAAAGCACAGACTGTCGGTTGACACGGGACTTGATATTCGAGGCGGTTCCCTAACATTAACGGTCAGCTTATTCTCCTGGATTAAGTCGTGGTGGCGAACGCGGGGTGCGACATACGTATTCTTCAGCCAACATCTTTGCTGCGCGCGAAATCTGATCCTTGGGAGCTGTTCCTAGGGTTTAGTATCGTTTTCTATTAAAATCAAAGTGGGGGAGGGGTAAATTACATACGGATGATTAGAGAAATCATGCTGGTACCATTTCCTCGAGCGGCCTCAAGGCGCTTGATCAGCTTCTTGACCTTCCATATCTCAATCTGTGGGCGCCATTATTGTTAGATGGTATTCATTACGAGACATAAGAAGAAAACACCTTGAAGGCAAATCTGACGGAGCGGTGGAGATGCTGAAGGCTGAAAGAGACTAGGAAATATTTATGACGATGTGCGCACTTACGTTCTTCTCAGCCTCTGTCGCCTGGGCGTCACTCATTTTGGCGTGAGGATAATGAGCGATTCAAGATACGGTCTTTCTTCAGTGGAGTGATGCTTGGGGGGGGGGGGGGGGGAGGTGAAAGATCGATCGTATCAGGTGCAGGAGAGAAAAAGGTTGGACGAAATTTTGTGGTCGAAGGAAACAAGGAAGCGTAGGCGGGCCCTCGGGGTTTGCGAGGTACATACGTCAAAAATGCATTAAATACATGAATATTTAGTATCTCCTAAGCAAAAATGGATGCTTGCTTGTGCTGAAATGGAAACTACGCTAAAATAATAAGGCGGGGGTACTTAGGTATCGATCCCTTTCAAGCCACATTATGGCGTAGTTGCCCACTTGCTTAAATACCTTGATTACTACCTAAACCATATATGGTTAGGGTCTATAATAAGTGGCGCTACCGAATTGAAATTTGACCGCCTTCGGATGGCTAGGCTGACTTTTGCCCGTGACTCCTAAAGCCCGCACTGACCTTTTTGACCGGTGAGTCGCAACCATGTTCACTCATCTTGAAAACAACACGTTAATCGACATTATTCGGCAGTTTCCAGGGTTAGCTATCAACAGCCCTTCCTTGTTGTAACTGATGAGACACGATTTAATGCATAAGTATATGAGATCACAAATTCCACAGCACTAGAGAAATATTGTATTCTTTGACCTTCCTTACACAAAAAACATTATGATGACAGCCTCGGGGCTGAAGCTTTGACAGAATGATCAGGATGTCAACCTATCAGAAGCTATCTTGATTGGGTTGAATTTTGATGCGCTGAAAGTTGGCGCGCTAGGACGTGGATGTGATGATCGCCATGTGGGAATGACAATGGATGCGAGGGGGCCGTAGCAAAAGACAGTTGAGCGACCGCTCCTGGGCTATCGTCCACACCTCCACCATGACCTGGCGTAGGAGTCTACATTCATTATGATTCGTCCACATGTCGATAAATGCCTACATTTTGCTGCAACTACTGGTTGACTTATATACCATATGTCAATTATGAGGTTTCATCTTTGGAAGCTTCTTGTTATGTGAGCTCAACTGCTTACTCAATTTGGCTACCAGCCATACTATATTTTAGTATGTCATTTATTAACCGTGCAGGTGCAGAAGAAGTCTAAAAGGTCGCTATTGAAGAAAAATTAGCCGGCAATGACTTACAATGTTGAGCGGGTCGCGGGTTTGGAACTGCAATGGAACTTCAAGGCTCCCCTTGTACGGGTGTCACGAAAAAGAAGCAAGCCAATGGCAAAGGATCTATGAGACGAGGCGTTGATCAGGAAAACAGCTATTCGTATTGAATTGGCGTTGGGCGACATACTGAGATGGCCACTGCAACATGGATTACGTCACAGCCTGTTTAGCTGTTATTCTACCCCTGGTTATCCGTGCAGCTAAGAAAATTGCCCTACTACCCTCGATGGAAGTAAGTTGGGGCGGTTTTTATTTGCTCACGATAGCCTCAATTCCAAGGTCCCGGTTAGAAATTCTGCCGGTTGCGGTCTTTATTGCTCAAATCCGAGGTGGAGCCAAGCGGCTGGGCCAAATTCACCGCGATGCAACGGCAAGACACGGAGCACAAAACAACAAACATACAAGACTATCGATACGATGCACGATTCAATCGAGGTAAGACGAAGTTAGATTATATGAGTCTAGCTTATATTTTCCAGATTTGACTTACTGTATTATATAGTTGTGTTCTTCACATCTATTATTTTTTTGGAGCATGTTACATTCGGCCCATCTCGAGTCAATTGGGCATTCCGGTTGAGACCGAACAGTTTGTATGTACCGACCGACGGAACGATCAACATGCCATATGAAATTGGTGTATAGTGGCCCAGCAGATTCAGCGAAGCTACTATCCTTGAGATGATACTACCTCGGATATAAATGTTGGTTGTTGGGTTCACCATATATGATACTGATAGTTGATGACTTATGGGGTAATAAGATTAGGAGTATTTTAGTTGATGAGAGATGTTGGGGTTTCTATATGAATAATGTGGTGGATGAGGTGGATGAGGTGGATGAGGTGGATGAATATGATGACAAGAGACGGAGATGGTGACGTTGGACGGGCAGTGACAAAGGATTGGGCTTGGCTACGGAGACGGCTTTGACCATGACCACCACGACGGACTCGGGGGGGGATAGATGACCTTATCAGCTTTGGATGAGAAGATATGAGAAGAGGAGGCTGGGGATACATATGGGTATAAGCTTTTACGCTTTACATACATACAAGATGTACCTTGGATCCTCAGGTTAGGTATATTAGGTAGCTGGAGATAGCTGGTCTTAGGTAGCTGGTCCTATGTTTTGTAGCTTAGCAAATGCCTAACCTATCAGATCTGGTCTTTCCTTCCCCTGGTTGATTTTGCGGCTCAAGCCTAATAAGGGTGTAATTTTAGCGTTTCCCAAATTTCGTGGGCTCCTTGACTTTCTCAAACCTCCACACTTTAATACATCCCACCTTTCCTTTGATCATCTACATCTACAACAATCGCGTCTTTGGAACGACGACAATACCACACAACATGGCCGACGATGATTCTAGCGAGCTTTCTTCTGTTTCTTCATTATCTTCTGCTCCCTCTGAAGATGATAGCGATATCGAGGTAAAGCGAGAAAAGGGCATACTAAAGTTCTTTCATAAGCTTCCCCCGGGTACTAAGCCTGCAGAGCCTAAGAAAGAGGCAACTCCTCCGCCACGCAAGAGATCACCTTCGCCAGCTCATGAATACGTTTTAGCTGATAATCCAGATATTGCAGTACGTCATACACTCTTTTATCGCGCCAAAAACGCGAAATGTCGCGTCGTTTTTATTATATTAGCTAACCACTTATTTAACTACCTCTAGTTCATTGTCATGTTCCGTTCCCGTTTTAACGAATCCCTTCCTAAATCACTAGCCAACTTTGGTCCTCAAGAACTTGAGCGTGACGTATCCGAACCTGTTCCTGGCGAACGTGTCGAACATTTTCTCTGTGCTATTCTTAGCCTTTTGTTAAACCGCAAGCAAGATGTCAAGTATGACGCAATACCCAACCTTAACCCTACCAAAAAACCCATTTCCACAAATGTAGACCTCTAACACCTGTTACTAATAGGCCTGGACACTATAACCGAGCGCTAGAAGATGCTATTAGTTCACACAAGAACCAGTGGGCGCGAGATTGGAAAGATGAGAATCCTCTAGCTGGTAGTAGGACCTTTGCTTCTATGGATCCTACCGAAAGAGTATGTATAATCCTTCCAGTGCAATCATTCTCTTTCTCACTATACGATGCGACAATTGCTAACGTAATGGGCTATCTAGTTAACACTGCTACGAACTCTGGTAGTTTGGACCTTATCATCTTCGGAAGTCATCAAGGGTATTATCAATAAATCCTACAAGGGAAATCGACACGAAGACGACCTTAACCAACCTCTATCCGTGCAGCCTTGGGGATCCGACAGTGACAAGCGCCGTTATTATTTGATCGAGGGTCTAGATGATACCCATTTTCGAGTCTATCGCGAGAGCAATCCACAGGGTTTTAACAGAACATGGTGGAGTGTAGCAGGTAGTATAGACGAACTCAAAGTTCTTGCGGAGAAGCTGCAGAAATCCGATGGCGGCCCGAAGGCCAAGAAATTGGCACATAAGATGCTAGCTGCTGTCCCCCGCTTTGAAGCCACTGAAGAAAAGCGCAAGCGCCGTGAGTACCGCCTCATGCGCAAGGAGCAATTCAAGCGCCCAGAGAACAATTACTCCATGTACGAAGGCCGAACTAGAGGCAAACGAATAAAGTATACATATTCTGACGAAGAGGATTTCCTAACTGATTCCTCTGTACGACGATCTTCGCGAAATACCCGCAACCCTACACCGGCAGAGCCTGCTGGTCCCGTTACTACTGCCAGTGGTCGCCAAATCAAAGCCCCTTCGCGCATGACAGTAGACGCTTCAAACAATATCATCACAACCAGCCCAACAAGCCAAGGCCACAATGAGGCCACTGCGTCAAAGGAGTCGTCAGTCGGCCCTACTGGTCGGCCCAAAAGATCAGCTGCGGTCAATCATGGCACAAACGGTTGGGCTCCATCATCTAAGAAGCCAAAGGAATATAATTCCGACGATGATATGGAGGATTACGATGACGAGGAGGATACTGAACCAGAACTAGGCGACGATGAGCAAGATCATGTCCCCGATGACGACAGCGAGGATGAAGATGATTTCAACGAAGACGAAGATATGGTCGATGATGACTTAAGTGATCCTAATGGAAAGGACAGTATGATGGTCAAGCTCAAGCTTCCATCGAAGACGTCCGGCTCTACCGGGTCAGCACTCAACTTAGATGAATACCGATACAATGGGAAGAAGGAAACTCCCAAGGCTTTCACATCAGCAGTGGAGAATGGCGCAGCCCAGAAAGACTCCACACCGGAGGAGAAGAGCGAGGAGGTCATATCAGTGGCAACGACGAAAAAGCAGGCCACCCCGGATCCGGAGCCCTCTACTACGGCGAAGAACGAGCAGCGCCAACGTCCTCCTTCAACACCCGCACTAAATTCGCTTCAGTCGACCTCGTTGGCTTTTAGGGAAAGCCCGGATAAGGTCCAGCAAGCTCTACCTAAGCATGTCGACGTCGGTGCCGGGGAGTAAAAACAACTTGACGAATATCTTGTCAGTTTATTAGCCTCAAAAGAGGCCTGAAGTGTAATAGCGCGTAATGTATTTCCTATCATGTGAGAGGAAATATTTACGCATGACTTGCAACTTTGCAGAAGGACTGCTGTAATCCTCGGGAAGCAGCAGAAAATATAGTCTGTGTTCTTCGCGCGGAGATATCAACCACAGCATAACGTAAGAGTGAAACTGAGGGCGAAAGTGAAAGCAAGGAACAGTAGCGTTGTTCTGCTGATATACAGACAGACAAGTAGGCAGGCAGGCATACATATGTATTTACACTGGCTAAGCTACTCGAGGATGATGTTGCAGTTACATCAATCTGATCGGACGAGTACCCGAGCCAGTTTCTATAGATGAGAGTACCATAGCTACAGATAGCGCCGCACCGTCGGCCGTCGCTTATTCCCCTATGACGGCTTATATTCTTGTCTAGGTACCTAATTAATAAAATCGCATAGACGTAATGTCATTTTGCGGTTTTCCCCAATACCAAGACTCCAATGATAGGTACTATGCTATTACTCCTGTTTCTTTCTTTACGTGTTCCAGTTCCGGTCCCCGAGACACGTCCGCCCGTAACACGCGTATAGACTAGGCATATCGCAGCGCTCGCGTCTAGCAAGCCCGAGACCGGGGCCGAGGTCGAAGTCGAAGCCGGGTTGTGGGCGTGAACTCGACTGCTGCCGCGCCATGTTATTCTCTCTCTTCTGTTGTATTTGTGGTCTGTACGTATGTATATATGTGTGTGTATATAAAGAAGCATATTTCAAGCTCTTGCCTTGACCTTGGCGCTAGCTCCCGCCATCTTCTGCGAGGGCAGCGGCCAGTTATTGACGCCGTACCACCAGCGGCGCAGGCGCGCGCCCACCGAGGTGCCGCTGATCCGGGCGTTCTTGTTCCAGTGGTGCCAGCCGTGCAGCGCTAGGTTGTATAGGACGCCTTGGGCGAAGGGCATCATCATCTACATAGGTGACACTCTGGGTTAGATCCTAGTCTTTATCCTAGTCCCAGGAACGAGAAAGAAAGAAAGAAAGAAAGAAATGAATTAAAAATACCTGATCCCGCACCGTAATCCACGCCACCTTCCACCACGTATCCGCCTTCGCGATGCTATGCAGATAGCTCTGCTCGAAGCGCAAATCCGGCATGGGCGGGAGATTCCTAGATCTGGGGTGCGGCTTTAACACGCTGATCGGGATCTCGCTTTCGTCGTCGTCGGCTTCTTCGTAGTCGTCTAGGTCCGAGTCGATCGAGTGTCTTTCTTGCAGATGCACGGGCTGTTTTTCAGATAGCGACGACGACGGGTTTAAGTCGTGCCGCGGAGACGGGTCTCGTTGGATATGTGCCGTCTGGATCGTCTCGGCGATCTGTGTTGGTATGTTTTCTGCCATGGCGTGTGTGTGTGTGTTGGGTTGGAGTTGCTGCTGTTTGCTGCTGCTGTGTTGTATGAGGTAAGTAAATGTAGTAAATGTTGTATATGCATGAAAGCTTGAGCTTGGTGGGTTGAGGTAATCCCCCTGTAAATGACGTTTCGATACAGGTGATAGCAACTGCCGGGATTAGGATGTACAGGGCTACTTTAGTATATACGTCGAATACATATATGCATATATAAGATATATCATAAAATATATGTAATAGACGGATACATCAAGACGACGCTCACAGTAATAACCACCTTACATATTAACTTCAATCAGGCAAATTTCTTTTATTCTTTAATCTACCCATATAGTCTATTCCTCATAGAACAGCCGAATCCATCCCACTTGCAGCAAGAAACGAATGCCAGCCTATTTCTTACACCAAACCCCTAAGAAAGGGGGTTTTAAGACATGCTATATGTAAGTGTCTTCTTCCAAACAAACGCAGCTAGTCAAATCTAGCCACCGCCCTTCAGGGGATAAATCCCATTTTTGATGCTATAGTCATATCATAATCGTCCGTCAGCAACGATTCTTCCGAGCTTCCTAGCTTGTGCTTAGCAAGAATAGATATCTCAGGCTCCCGTATTTCATCACCCAGAGACGCCTTGTCAGTACCGTATACGTAAGGCCGTTCGTATTCTTGCATTATGTATATTTCTGGCTCTGTGGTTATGCTGGAGTCCGTCTGCGTAGTCTGCGTAGTCATCGACTCTTTCATTTCTTCCTCTTCTTCGCTCGGTCCATCAATGGGCGACCCGACGTACCAATTATCTATTGCCTCCTGCATGTTAAAGATGATTGTTCCCGGTACAAGTCCCATTCCCTGTGGTAGTCTGAAGTTGGAAGGAAAAAGTTGGATAGTGCGAGCCTCAGGGGTGAAGGCTGCAAAGCTGGCGTAGTACGGCTTGAATCGGGTACACAAATCTTTGAGGGCAGTCTCAAGGTCAGAATAGCGTTTTCTTGGCCATGGCTTGCTTTTATCGTTTTCGTCGGGAACAAAAACGTATACCCTAGTCTCCAAACGCCGAATCCTTTCCCTGATCTCACAGTCAGGCACCGGCTTGTATAGTTTGTACCCTTGCTCTCGCAGAGTTACTGATGTCTCTAATATGCGTTCAATCCGGTGCATAGGAACCTTCCAGTTCTCAGGTGTCCCGTTCAAATTGGCATTGTTTTGCGCTGGACAATCTGTAGGACCCTGATCACTCGCGATAGTCGGAAGATCCTCTTGACAGACTCTTGGTCCTGCTATTCTCTCGGCAATTGCTGGACTATGACGCTTAATTCGGACTGGAAAACGTTCTTGAATGGGAGAAGGTTGCCTAGCTATTGGCTCTTCCTGTACTGCCGCAACTTTGTCTGCTCCTGTGTTAGCCATAGATTCAATGATTATAATGTAGCTATATAATATCGGTGGCCGTAGCTGTGATAGAGGATAGTGAAATATAGAGTGAACCTATAGAAATTCGACTTTGGAAATAAATAGAAGACTTTCTTACCACTCGAGGTTGCCATATAAGGTCTATCAAGTCTATCAAATATACTCATATTGAAGGCCGTATTTGGTGATCGGTCCCCAGTAAACCTTTCTTCCACTTTAATGTTCGCAACCATCGTGTCTAGATCAGGAAGTCTAGGAACAGAATCTTGGCCGGATGATGTACTGGATATATGACCCAAGCTATTGCGCTTTGGAATACCTTTAAAGTTGACCAACGTATCCGTGTTTTCTGGACTAGTACGGTATTCGGTTGATCCATCTTGTGATGGTCGAGAGCTTATAGAAGAGCGAATACCCCTAAGTGACGACGACATAGAGCTAATGCTCTTTCGTATTACGGATGGGCGGCGGCGGCCCTGACCTTCACTGTCAGTAGAGGTATCCGAGGAAAACCTGTCTCTTAGAGACGACGAAAGGGAGTTGATGCCCTTTCGAATTAAGGATGGCTGTGGATCTTGGTTATCCTCGCAGGCTGCACTATGCTCTATGTGTTGCCATATTGGCAGAGCCATTTTACGATCGCGACCTAGCACAAAACGCCGGCGTAGGGAGTATTGCTTGGCTTTAAATTTTTCTGCTATGCCATTTCGATCTTCAGTTAGCGAGGGCAATTGAAGATCTGTCAAGTATCTCAAATCTTCCATGTCTACTTCGGGGCGAGTCGTAGTGCGTTTGCGTAATTTTTCTCGAAGGCTAGCCATTGTGTAGAATATAATCAGTAATCCCGGATAATAATTGACTAGTTCAGAGAAGAGTGGGATGGAAGCAAATAGTAATGATAGAAACTAGTGGTCTAAATATTGCTTGATGGTTTTGGTTGTCCAAGAATGTATAGTAACATACTAAAGCGGATAGCAATGAGAAATAGAGAAGGGAAGAAGCGAACCTCTAATGATTGTTGAATAAATATATACAGAAGGTTATGAATAACCCATTGGTAGCCATATGCTCTTTCTCTGGTATGAGCACTTACTTCTCCTATATGCCTCCCCCTGCAGGTGCGGACGTAAGAGGTACGGGCGGTTGCGATATTAACTGCTCGAATATTTCTATTACGGTAATCTACATCGAGCAAGGGGTGAGTTATAGTTGTTGCCCTTATTGATTTGTTCATACAAGAGCATTTAAATGATAGTATATATGTGCCTTAGATGAATATGTTCTATATTCTAAATAATGGGGTATTTTGGCCTCATAGTCCGTAAATAATACGATTGTAATATTTATACATAGAATTCGGGCGAAGGGTACGATAACTACCAGTCCCGAGTAGCAGCGGCTTTCCCGTACTCATATCTTCAAACCCCCATTGGTCTACTCTGAGGATATTTCCAGGGTGTACGTTTATGATTATCACCATCTTCACCATCTTCACCATCTTCACCATCTTTGTCTCCTTCGTCCTCTTCCTTAGCATCCTCCTCCGGGCGGAATTCAGGAAACATTTCCTTCATCTCCTTGAAATGGCGGACAACAACTCTATTCAGACTATTTCGTCTCGCTTCAACTTCTTTCTGATCACCTGGGCGTAGCACATTGCTCGATATGACCCTATCGCTAGCGGCGATCATCTTTCGTGCCAGGGCCACAAGCTCTCGTTTCATGTTTGATTCCGGACCGTCCTCGTCGTACTGCCTTGCAACGGTCATATACGGTTTCCAGAGATTCTCGAGAGCTGTAGCGAGCTGCTTGCTCCATGCCATCGTTGCACCATAGGTATCATTTCCGAATTGATCGAAAAATGGCCGCTTGCAGGCATAAGCTACACGGAGATAGTTGCGCAAAGTTATCGGATCTGGAATTTTAAGCTTGGATAGCATAATTTTTACAACCTCGGTGGCGTTGTTAAAGACGCTGGTGTTCAAATTGTCTCGTAGGCAAGTATTCATAGCTGTACGGAAGTTCTTAGGAAGCATCAGCTCCGCAGGCATATCCCATAGACACATAACAGTTTGGCTACTGTTCTTCCCGCGGCGTAGGGTCATGAGCATGCGATGCCAATTGTTAGCATCGGGTACAACATGATGCTTCTTAGTGAAGATATCCCAATATGCCTGCGCTCTTGACGTTTTCCCGCTCTTCTCCAGGGCGGCAATAATCAAGGAAAGAGAGTTGTTCCCCGGAAGTGCGTGGCTAACTTCAGGGGCACCGGGGGCCTTGATTTTGTCGGTGTCAACCGTGGTAGCTGGCTTCGCGTCTATATCATCTTTGCTATGACCCGCCCATTTCTTAGATTCCCCACGGATGGCGGCCACATCATCCTTTGGGATCATCATTGTTTGCTCGAGTAGAGCTTCTATAGATTCGGCATCGTGATAGTTTCCCATTAACAGAATCCATCCCATCGCGCAGACTAATTCTTCATCGATAATAATGGAACCAGCCCTCCACTTCGATATAACTTCTTCCCATATGGCTTTAGATCGCAGAATTGTTCGCGCCTTTGCTTTTGTAATTTTGGGAGTATCGACGTCTACTACAAGACCATACTGGCGCCTATTAACCTTGCGCCGTAAGGCATTCAAGATGATTGTATATGTCAAGTTGTTTGGTGCTCTAAGACCTTGGTTGGCGGTTTGAACGATGGTGAATAACGACTCGATATCTTCGGCATTCGCACAGACTTTAAGAACAGCGTTCAAATGGATTGTGTTGGGTGTTATGCGATCGTTAGTTAACATGTTGTTATATATTCTAATTGCCTCCGATACGGCTAGTTTTGGATGAGGTGAAAAAGAGCAACCTTTGAAGATGATTGTATATGTTTGAGCGTTTGGGAATTGGCCAATCTTCTTCATATCATTGTATAACTTGATTCCAGCATGAAGTTTACCTTGTTGCATTACATAACCAATCAAATGATTCCAACTGACCGTCACTACTGAGTTCTTGCTGGCTTTTTTTGTGATCAGCATAGCATCATCAAAATTGCCTCTCTCCAACGTCTTCCTGACATAGTCTTGAATGTGTAGCGGATCTTTTAGATACTGCAACTGTTTTTGAGCAGCCCATTCCTGTGGAGAGATGGTTTGTTTCCTCTTTGCCTTTGGATTGTCCTGGTATCCATCTTGCTGAGAAACGTTGGCTGGCGCAGTAGTTGTCGTATATTTTCTATGTCGGCGGGATAAGGCGGGCGTGTAAATCGGTTGTACTGTCGCAAGGGTATTTTGCAGGCGAAATGTAGGATTGATTAATGTAGAGAAAGCTTTTCTCTTACATGATTTGCAAGTAAACATAATTACTCGCTTTACGAGTGCCGTGAAGGCACTATGTGATAAGAGCCGGCGTCTTGATGGACTTGGAAGGTGTAAATTTATAGTATGCGAAAAACAATTAGAATCTGGACCTCATGCAGGTTGCTATCCTTATCGATAATTAGGTTAAACTTGAAACTGCCAAAGAGGTGGACTGTGACGTTCATGGCGGGGTTCATAGATACATTAACTAGGTACCTAGGTACATTAGTCAATGTACCAACGCTAATATCCAGCCACTCTTAGCCTTTATAATTGAGTTTAAACAAGGATTCGCGAAAACGCGTTGTGTAAATGGGTGGCTCGCGCGTCGCGTCCCTAAAGTGGGAAAGATCCCTTAAAATTATGTACATATCTTTAATTGATACCAATTGATCCAGTTGATTTACTCCGTACCTCCACATTTAATACACAATACATACAAACACCGTCTACACAATTTCTTCTTCCTCTTACAATCTGGATATGATTTATTCTTTATAGCATATATCAAAATGTCCAAGTCACTCAACAAGCGTAGCAGGCTTGCCGAGCTAAAAGCTCTGCGTGCTGCTGGTAAGAAGGCTTACGACTCTTACGAGGTACAAGAAGATCAAGATCTATACGAGGAAGTCGACGAAAATCAGTACAAAAAGATTGTTCGCGACCGTCTAAACCAAGATGACTTCGTCGTAGACGACAATGGCGAGGGTTACGCCGACGACGGAAGAGAGGAATGGGATAGAGTACATACATACGAATCTGAGAGTGAGGACGACACATTACTTGGAGGGAAGCCTCGCAAATCAGGTATTAGAGAGCCATCTTGTCTACATTATATATACTTATATACTTACACTATGCTAGATAAGAAGAAGCGTGACGAGGAAAAGGCAAAACGGGATGCCAATGACCGCGATATCAGCGAATATTTCATGAAGGGTCAAGCTACTACCCAACAAAAGCCAAAGGTATAACTTGATCTTGGGTTTGGCTGTAATCGTACAGGACTGATTTTTGATTAGGTCGTAAAAACCGAAGACGACGATAGGTTCCTGGCGGACCTATTAGGCGAGGTTGACGCAAACGTACCTGCTCCAGTATCACGGGCCCCGAAGCGACATCGATCTCCCGAACGACGCCGAGCTCGTGTTCTATCACCCGTCCGAGGAAATAGACAACCAGCTACTAAGAAGGCGAGACTAAGCGAGGAACGCTCATCGCCTGCGCCTCAGCCACAAGAGGTTTCCATTGATGAGGATGTATTCCTCCCAGCTATGGACGATGACGATTTTTTGCCATCAGCGGCTGACGTACTTATGAGCGACTCTGCTCCTATTCCTTCCTCGCCCACTGCAAAAGTTGCCGCGCGAAAGGCCCAAGTTAAGGTTGAACCCGTGGAAGAAGAAGACGAAGATATGATGGAGGTCTCTCATGCCGGGACAATAAACACTGCCAGCGTGAACTTGTCTGCATCTCGGCCTATTAAAAAGCTGGTCAAACCCGAACCGTACCCTACACCTGCTAGCTCGTCCCCAACAAAAGCTACCGAGGCCGATATTGATTCGTCCTCGTGGAACAATCTCACAAATAAGCTGAATGTCGTCAGCAGTTCTCCAGTTGAAACACGAAGCATCGGTAAGATTGATTATAAAGATGCTATCGAGGAGGATGGCAGTCTCAATATGTTCTGGACCGACTATACGGAAGTCAATGGCTCGCTCTGCTTATTCGGAAAAGTCTTGAACAAGAAAACGAATACTTATGTGAGCTGCTTTACCAAGGTTGACAATATTTTAAGGAAATTGTACTTTCTACCTCGCCAATTTCGTCAAAAGAACGGACAGGATACAAGCGAAGAAATAGAAATGACGGACGTGTACTCGGAAGTGGACGAAATCATGACTAAAATGAAAGTCGATATGCATAAGATAAAGCCCTCTACTAGGAAATATGCCTTCGAGCTCCCCGGCATTCCAAGGGAAGGACAATACCTAAAGTTATTATATCCTTACACAAGTAAGTTTATTTAAAGTCTCGTTTCTATGAGAATATACACTAATGTCGACTAGAGCCGCAGATCAACCCTGAGATGGCTGGTGAGACCTTCTCGCATGTTTTTGGTACTAATACCGCATTATTTGAGCAGTTTGTGTTGTGGAAGAACATTATGGGGCCATGTTGGCTCAAGATAAAAGATGCCAACTTCGGTGCTATCAAGAATGCTTCTCATGCCAAACTTGAGGTCCTTGTCAATGATCCTGATACGATCGCCCCCATGAGCGATTCTGATAACCTGGACGCACCTCCTTTGACTCTCATGAGTATTGTTATGCGGACCGTTTTCAACATCAAGGACAACAAACAGGAGATACTTGCGATAAGCGCTCGTATCTATGAGAATGTCTTGCTTAGTGATACTACACCTGCAGAAAAGCTCCCTTCAAGGACGTTCACGCTGATGAGGCCGAACGGATCAGCATTCCCCCTTGGTTTCGACAAACTGGCGACGGGTAGGAAGAAAACACTCATCAAGCTAGTGAAACAAGAGTCCGAGATCCTATCTTTCTTCTTAGCACAAATCGATCTTATCGATCCAGATGTAATTCTTGGTCACCAACTGGAAGGTGTCGACTATAGTGTCCTGTTAAATCGATTGCACGAGAAGAAGACACCCCAGTGGTCGCGGCTTGGGCGATTGCGCAGAGCAGCATGGCCAATATCCATAGGGAAAACGGGTGGCAATGTATTTGCGGAACGCCAGCTTATGTCTGGTCGTCTCTTGTGTGACCTTGCCAATGATGCTGGCAAGTCTGTCATGTACAAGTGTCAGTCCTGGAGTTTGACAGAGATGTGCAATCTCTACCTTGGTGGTGATGCCCATAGACGAGATTTCGACAACGAGGCTGCTCTGAAGACATGGGCATCGGACAAGTCAGGCTTAATGGATTATATAACTCATATGGAAGCAGATACATATTTCATCGCCGCGTTAGCCTTGAGTACGCAGATGCTGCCTTTGACGAAGGTCTTGACGAATTTGGCGGGTAATTCTTGGGCCCGTACTTTAACAGGTACTCGAGCCGAACGCAACGAGTATATTTTATTGCATGAATTCCATCGCAATAAGTATATCTGCCCTGACAAGCAGTTTTTCAAGGGACGGCCAAAAGCTGAAGAAGAGAACAATGAAGAAGACGCTACAGACAGTAAAAAGAAGGATAAATATAAGGGTGGTCTTGTTTTCGAGCCGGAAAAGGGGCTATACGACAAATTCGTCTTGGTTATGGATTTCAACTCCCTTTATCCTTCCATCATCCAGGAGTTCAACATCTGCTTTACAACAGTCGACCGGAGTTCACTTGTAAGTCTGCCTATGTTATATCAATATGGGCGATGCGCTAATGCTTGGGGTAGTCGGATGATGATGATGCTGTACCGGAGGTACCGACGCAACAGGAGCAAGGCATATTACCAAGACTTATCGCCACCCTCGTTAGTCGACGACGATCAGTTAAATCGCTCATGAAGGATAAGAACGCTACATCTGAGCAGCTTGCCACATGGGATATTAAACAGCTTGCTTTAAAGCTGACAGCCAATTCTATGTACGGTTGTTTAGGATACACAAAGTCTCGCTTCTATGCAAGACCTCTTGCCATCCTTACGACTTACAAAGGCCGTGAGATCCTTCGAAGCACCAAAGAACTCGCCGAGTCGAAATCGCTCCAAGTTATTTACGGTGATACCGATTCCGTCATGATCAACGCTAATGTAGAATCGGTTGCGGACGCACTCAAGGTCGGTCAGGAGTTCAAGAAGGCCGTTAACGAGCGATATCGCCTCTTAGAGATCGATATCGACAACGTATTTAGACGTATCTTGCTACAAGCTAAAAAGAAGTATGCGGCTATTAACCTCGTGGAAGTACCTGGTGGCAAATACATCGAGAAGATGGAAGTTAAGGGTCTTGACATGAAGCGCAGAGAATACTGTGGTCTGTCAAAGGAGATCTCGTCCCGTCTTCTTAATGAAATCTTGTCTGGTGATGAGACCGAAGTCTCCGTCCAACGCATACATGAGTATCTACGCGAGGTCTCAGGCAAAATGCGAGAGTACACCGTTCCCATCCCGAAATACATCATCTATACACAGCTAGGCAAGGCGCCAAAGGAATATCCGAATGCGGACACGATGCCACAGGTCCAGGTTGCTCTCCGAGAAATCGCACGAGGCAAGAATGTCCGTCGTGGAGATGTTATCTCGTACGTTGTTACCGGAGATAGCAAGTCAAGCGAACCTGTTGCCAAGCGCGCATACACGCCGCAGGATGTAATGAAGCCCGATTCCGGCCTCAAGGTGGACGTCGAGTGGTATATCGGCAAGCAGATATTCCCACCTGTTGAGCGTCTCTGCGCCAACATCACCGGAACATCAACTTCCCAGCTCGCCGAGCAATTAGGTCTCGACATTCGCCGTTATACGAGCAACTCGACCTTTAATCAGTCAGGATCCAACGACCACGAAATCCACCCGCTGGAATCCCAGATCCCCGACGATGTCCGCTTCCGCGACTGCGCCCGCCTCTCACTACGCTGCCGGAAGTGCAAAGCCTCGGCGCCCTTCGAAGGCCTGCTGTCCTCGGAGCAACCCGAAAACCGCGTCACGCCACAAGGTATCGCATGTCCGTCGTGTTCGGCGCTCATCCCTAACCTTAGCATCGTGGCACAAGTCGAGCGGGCGATCCGCAACGAGACGGCGCGATACTACGAGGCCTGGCTCGTGTGCGACGACGCATCGTGCGGCAACCGCACACGCCAGATGTCGGTCTACGGCACGCGGTGCATGGGTCCGAAGGGCCTAGCGTCGGGTTGTCTCGGCCGCATGCGTTACGAGTACGGCGAGCGTGACATCTACAACCAGCTCGTCTACTTCGCGTCCCTATGGGACGTGGAGAAGGCCCGCACCAAAGCAAGCTCTGGCGCCACCGGTCTAGGCGGGCA